GTCACTGCCCTTGCTTACTCAGACAATCTTATTAAATCCACAGACGACAAACATTGCTTTAGACACTGACGACTCGATCGTACTCATTTAAAGGACAGCAGCACATTTACAAACACATGCAGCGCATGGAATGGAGGCATCCGTATCCGGATTTGCCTGTCACTGTGGCCTCTATGGGGACAGGCACAGGACGCCTGTACCTACAGATGAACCATAGGTGGCTTGCGCTGCACCACCCGCACCCCATATCCGGTATAAACCCGAAGGCATAAGACTGGCAGACATGTAGATGGGAGCCACGTTTCATCAACGGAGCCGGTTCACACTCCTACAACAAGCAGAAGAGAAGCATCCCGGCCTAATCGGGAAATCATGCACGCCAGACGTACACAAGGCGGTGGCTGGGTCGTAACCCGTTCCACACAGGTTGCATGGAACCACACTTTGAGTCTAGCACCGTCACGAGGACGGTGCACCCCGTCCCCTCGAGCAACGACTAACTGTCTCCTGGAACCAGCAATCGAGATGGAGGGTGTCAGACAGGTATGTACCTTGTCAATATTCACATCGGTCGCAGCCACACCTGGGAGCTGAACCAACATGTACTTCTGAAATGGAAGAATACTCATCACTCAGGCAAACGTACCACATACGCCGCCTTATCCGCCTGGATTAGTAAATCGTGCTTCTATTCCGCGTGCAATAGTGTTTTCTCCTGCACCTGACGAACCGCCCTTTTGATCAGTCCACGGGAATCGCATTGATCAAATTTGCCTTGGACAAGTAACACCTATCTACATTTATGGATCCACATATATGAAAGTCCTATTATATAATTGCATATTAATTGTTCAATTGTTGTACTATTACTATGATCATGCCTTTAATGGCGTGCCTCGTATCATATATATATATATATATATATATATATATATATATATATATATATATATATATATATATATATATATATATATATATATATATATATAAATATATAATATATATATATATATATATATATATATATATATATATATATATATATATATATATATATATATATATATATATATATATATATATATATATGGTTGGCGGCATCCGGTTTCGGATTTACCTGTCACTGTGGCAAGCCACAGGACGCTTGCGCCTACAGAGGGACCATGGATGGCTTGCGCTGCACCACCCACAGCTCCAAACACACACCCCATATCCAGTGTAAACCCGAAGGAATAAGACCGGGAGGCATGCGGATGGGAACCACGTTTCATCAACGGAGCCGGCCCACACTCCTTCACAGGCAAACACAAGCACACTGTATTTGGGAATCAAGAGCACACAAGGCGGTGGCTGGACCGTAGTCCGCTCCACACTGAGTGCATGGAACCGCTCTTTGAGCCTAGCACGGCCACAAGGACCGTGCACCCCGTCCCCTCCAGCAACGAACAACTGTCTCCTGGAGCCAGTATGGACGAGGTAGCGGGTAATAGACAGGTAGGCACCTTGTCAACATGCACATCAAGCACATCCACACCGGGGATATCAAACAACAGCCAAACACTTAAGAGAGAGAGAGAAAGAAAAAGAGAAAGAGAAAAACTCGATTAATGCATAAGGAAACGGTGATATAAACCTTAATTAAATAGCATATGTCATAAGTTGTTTACAAACAAATCCTAGCTAAGTGCACGAGGTCATGAAGTGTAGTTCACGGATTGCCACGAACACGAAAATGTTATGGAAATCGAATACAATTGGCTGAATCGATGTGTGCAAGTTAATGGAATAGAGTACAGGGAGATATTTATATGAGAAAGAGAAGCATTAAGGTAAAAGCTGTAAACCCACCACCTGAAAAAAAAGAGACTTAGTGTGCAAGCACGCGGTTAGTAAATCGAATTCAGCGTGTCTACAAACGTTGCGCCGGCTCGCCGTAATTATCTGCAGGACCTGCCGTCACTTCTGTAGTGCCCTCGAAGGGCCTAGCTCTATATATATATATATATATATATATATATATATATATATATATATATATATATATACGAATCGGAAGAGGTAAGTTTGCCACCTTTATCAGCACGTACGGTCCGACCATGTGTTATCCTGATGACACGCGTGATAAATTTTACATTGAGCTATCCTCCGTGATACGGTCTGTGCCGACGAACGACCTACAGTTCCGCTGGGTGATTTCAACGCGCGCGTTGGGCGTGATGCATTAGCGTGAACAGATGTTATCGGTTCGCATGGCATTGGTTCAGCGAATGCGAACGGTGACAGGCTGCTCTCACTGTGTGCCACTCACGGCCTGACGATCACGAACACTCGGTTTGCACTGAGTGCGAGTGATATAGCAACCTGGACGCACCCACGGAGTCGTCACGCTCACCTGCTCGACTATGTCATCGTACGTCAGCGTGATATGCGTGAAGTGCGCATGACACGTGTACTGCTTGGAGCTGAGTGTGGCACTGCTCACAACTTGGTGTGGACCAAACTGTACATGTATTTTCGTAAATCGATGTATTGCACTCCCGCCGTGAATCGGCGTAAATTTAACATTCTCTCCCTCGGCACGGTGGCGAAACGTACTGAGCTGGAGAAGGCGATGGCTGCACGCCTGTGTGATGTGGACTGCATAGCCACAGTGGGCGACCTGTGGCACCACATTCGCGACCAGGTGACAGCTGCTGCCGAGGAGACCGTCGGGCGCGCAAACTGTAAACGGCCTGATTGGTTTGATGACAACAATGCGATGATCGGCGCATTGGTGTCCGAGAAGAATGCAACATTTGCTGCACGTGTTGCCGACCTCAATGACTTGGGGAAGAGTAGTCAGTTTCGCAAACTTCGACGACGACTGACCGGAGAGCTCCGTCGCATTAAAAATGCATAGTGGACGGAGAAGGCGAAGCAGATGGAATGCTACTCCGAACGCCGCCAACACAAGGAATTGTTTGACTTCCTGAAGGCGGTGTATGGACCGAGATTGGAGCCGCTGAGGACATTGATCGATGGTAGTTCAGGCGCTACTTGCACACAGACTGCAGACATAATGCAGATCTGGCGGAAACACTTTGACAGTCTCTTGGACAACCGTTCAGAGATCGACTGGCCTACATTGAACGGCCTCAAGCAGCACGATGTGAAGGCGAATCTGGCGGACACGCCGAAACTGGATGAGACGCAGAGAGCACTTGCTCAGCTGCGAAACGGCAAGTGTGCCGGTGTCGGCGGGATCCCGCCCGAAGTATTCAAACACGGCGGACCCGCGTTGTTGACTGCGCTGCACCATTTGGTGCAACGCGTGTGGATTGAGGAGGAGGTGCCTGCTGAGCTGAAGGATGCCCTTGTGCTACCCCTGTACAAGGGCAAAGGTAACAAGCAATGTTGCACGAATTATCCTGGCATCAACTTGCTGAGTTGTGTGGGCAAGGTGATTGCCCGAATGCAGCTCAACCGCTCGTCGGTCAGGTTATGGAACCTAACGTGGCGGAAGTGCAATGCGGATTCCGTTCGGGTCGCAACACTATAGATATGGTGTTTGCGGTTCATCAGTTGCAAGTGAAGTGCAGAGAACGACACCAACCATTGTACTCGCTTTTTGTTGATTTCACCAAGGCATTTGATACAGTGAACCGCGAGGCATTGTGGCTGT